GAAACGGCCTGAAGTGAATGACCGAAAACAGCTGTTTGCCAACACGACTTTTGAATTGTATTTATACGCATATTTGAAGGGTTACAAGCAGGGACTGCCCTTGAGGACCCTATTAATGCAAAGTAACCTTATCACTGCTACAGTCAATATGAAGTTGTAGGCAGTTAACTAATATGCATTCCATTGAGTTGTCGCAGGATAATGCAAAACAGCATGAAAACAAACTACAGCCAGGAAAATATTTACATGGTTGACAATAAGATATCATGTTGTGATAGTCGCCTTTGTTCAAATATAATGCCATTAAGTCTTCATCTAAAATCATCAGTGGTGTCGGCGGAAACCGTCTCGCTTGGCAACAAGTGCCAAGGTCGTACTACTCGTTGGCTGAAGACAAGCTTACTGAGATCCAATCGAGTGCGTTCGTTTGTGAATTTATAAAGATGGGCAGTGTGTGATACAACAGAACAGAATTGTCACACCCTTTTCCTTATGTTACTAAAGTGATTAAATCCGGATTGAGAGGCAAGAGTGCAGCTTGCGTTTTTTTGTGGTTTTTCAGGAAAAATGTTGACCAGCGCTCTCCCACTCCCCGTAGCAGCCTCCAGCTCTACATTCCCCTCGGACTATTCAGTAACCAGTCCGGGTCGTACTGTCCGTGAGACACTTCCGTGACCGACATTGTGTCGAGGAACCCATTTCTTTTGCCATACTTCCTATACACTTTTATTATTCCCGCCTCTTTAGACAATAAACCGTTTTGTATCTCCCACACCACTTCATTCCCTGTGTGGAATATGCTTGATTTGTGCATTTCGATGAGAAATTCAGTCGTGAACCCTTCGGTATAGGTATTCCGCCTAAGGAATCTGAAGGCACTTACGCATTAGCACCAGGCGATAGTCCCAAATCGGAGAGCATTACATGGATGGCAGCGATGCCTACGAACCCCACTCACCAACTCTCAGTCTCTTCCTGTTGTAGTAATCTTCAGTTGAAATTGTCGGTTTATGATGAGAAAGAGGATATTCAGTATGGCTCCGCCGAGCCCAGTTTCAAGTTTGGGTGGTCCGATTCCCGGACCGAAGCATGGCGATCCCGCAATTATCGACGAGGCTCAGTTGGATAAAGCCTTGCATGCCGGCCTGTACGAAGACACACCCGTGGAAGAACTATGTCGCCATTTGGGGCAATTACTCAAACCCACGATATCAAAAGGGGCGGCGCTTGATCAGCTGTACATGTGCTGTCAATTTTCGACCGAAGCCCCTAAAGAGTATGTGACGGAACTGCGAAGTCTCTGCAAAGTAGCCTATCCCTCAGACTCTGAGGCGGACTGCAACGACACAGCTCTGCATTTCTTCGTAAAGATTTGGGAACCTGCGGAGCTGCGTCGACCCCTGCTCCTCCAACCAACTCGGGATTTACAAGAGGTGATGAGCTGAGTAGAGCACTACTCAGACGTGCCACAACCAGGCACATACTATGACCAACCGGCCAAGCCGACCACCCCCTGGCTTACCCCCAACAATCACAGCAGCATGCCGGTCCTACCTTTTACGTATTTTTCCTCACGGGCCGCGGTTTTTCTCATCAAAAAACACAAACGACACTCCACTTCTGAATTCTGAGCCATGCCCGTGGGTTTTTTTTCACTGTCTGCTCTTTTTGCTCAATAACACCTGCTGGCTCGTGTTAACTGGCATAACCGCATGTGATTATATCATTTGGAACAAGTGAGTAGTCTCCTACACGACCTTCTTTGAACTGTTCGGCTGTGCCGACGCATTTCTTAACTACTGTGTACCAATAGGAAGTAAAAAGGCGTTTGCCTATACTTCCCTTAAACAAACTTAACTCGATTTTATTACTGTCATGTAGAGAATATTTCAAAATATACGCTAGGCCGAGGAGTGTTCGCCTAACGACCGTGGACGGTTCTCGGTTGGATTTCGCTGGTTGTATACCACTAAAGCTGACGTTTCAGTCTGGGCAGAATGAGGATACGTTCCTAGTATTATCATGCTTAACTGGGGATATCTTACTTGGGGTAGATTTCTTGGACCGCCACGAGTGCATCATCCAAGTTAAACAGCACACGACAGCATTTGCCCGACCACCATGTACGGCCGAAGCTACCTTGCCCGGGTTTGAAGAGAACTGGTCTGGGCCTCGATACAAACCGTTGTTGCACTACCGGCCGTCAAAATCGCACGATGTTACCGGACCGAGCGAATAGTTCCACAAACGCCCAAGAAGAACTAAGATCTTTATTAAGACCGTCTGCTGACGTTTTTGTTTGGGACACGGATCCCTTGGGCCGCACCCACAGCACTCGAGCGAAATGGGCACCGTCAATCACTTTCCTGACCTAATGTTAACGAATCAGGTAATATGCCAAGTCTTCTTTTTGATTCAGCAATGGTGTCGGCGGAAACCGCCTCGCTTTACAGCGTGTTCCAAGGTCATACCACTCGTTGGCTGAAGAAAAGTTTTCTGAAGTGCAATCAAGTGCATTAGTTCGTGACCTTCTAAAGACAACGAGCGTTCTCACACTGCTTTCATTTTGGGCTACGGGAGGGTTGCTGTAAAATTTGAAGAGATGCGTGGTGTTGGCCGCCTTCCTGTAGGCAGTTGTTTATTTTTCGCCATCAGAACTTCGCATGACGAGTAGATTAGGGAAGGTCAGCTGCTGATCCTTCTCACTCTCCCCCGTGAACTGTATATCTGGGAAGATCAAGTTAAGGTAATCATGTAAATTCTGCTGTGTATTTCTCTTAATAATAAAAATGTGTCTTACACGCAGCGGTGCCAAAAAAACATGCTACAGCATTTCCTTGATCATCTTTATATTACCACGAAGATAATCGCCCACAACGGCGGCAAGACAAGTCGAGAGTAGATT